TGAATACGCTGTTACTGACATTTGACTAGTGTCTTACTACTTGAAATCTCCAAATGAGCACCATGTGCACTTTGAGAGGTATAGGCTGACTAACCACTTCGGATTCTTTTTGGGCGTTTACCTTTTGATGCATAGAGTTTATTCCTAACGGGGATTGGTCCACAAATCTCTCAATTATATTCAGAAATTCAAATACGCTGCAGAATTGGCCATTTACAGCTAAAAACCGATGTTTTGCATACATACTGTATCACACAGGCCGGTTATGACATAGTGGATCACGCAGAAACATTTATTATGATGTATCCCAGCTCTGTACCACACCGTACCATGATCGCACTGCATTTGAGAGAGATCTGGACCATATACGCCCCCAATACTACATGTGCACCTGCTCCCCTATCGGAAACATGGTTTTGCTTTTTCCACAATCCACCAGCGGCGTTTCTGGTGCTTGAATACTGTTTATACACATTTAAACTAAATTATCACAACAAGAACGGTGCCAAAAACACGTAAATCGGTTCTCCTGTGATTATACTGTGGCCCAGCATGTCGTTTTACCCCCTCAGCGCCCCACAATTGATGCAGAACCATTTTGACTGATTTTGAACCGTAGATCGACTTCCCAAACACCAAACTATATTGTCCAATCTTTGCTTCAACACCACAAGACATTCTAACCATGGTAATACCCCCAGGGTAGATGTTCTCCTCCTCCCCCCTAGACGCCGCACCGCTACCAATGAGATGGTCGCTGTTCTTGGGCACCGAGTGGTGCCCATAGTTAAGTATTGATGTTCGCCCACCCGTGACAGCAAAAACCAAGTAAATCGAACCGTTGTATCAGAAGTTCTGGCCTCCCGACCCCCTGTGACCTCGCTGTGGCAATATCTTTCTAACCGTTTATGCTATAACTTTGGGACGAATGGACCGATTCCTTCAAAAATTGATTTTGAGCGTCCTATATATTTATAAATGTTTGTCAAATAGTCAGAACCCCCAAAATCGGGCTCCTTCATGTTGGCGAAATCACCTCGCCGATTTACGTTTTATACACTGATTCCATTGAAACGACACCCAGC